TAATTGGTTAGTCATAAAAATATTAAATAAAGTCAAATAATAAAAGAAAAAATGCGCAAAAAGAGGTGGCATCTTACGGTCAAAAATTAGGGTGCAACACACATATGAAACTTTCTCTTTCTTACGGTATCTGTTAGCCTGGGTATTTTCATTTTTTAGACGTTCGACCTGTCGGACCCTATCGGCTAGCTGTGCCATATCTCTGAGATATTGAGTGTCTAACTTTTTCCTGATCGAATAATCTAGGCCGCTAGCCGCCATCTCGACTAGCTCATGTTCAAGGACTTGCATGAAGCATCGCGCTTTCAACAGTCTAAACCTGTTAAGATATTGGTCTACCTACTCTGTAAAACTGTTCATGGAAAAATCTTTCTAATTGTTCCTAGATATGTAAGGAATGTGGGGGTAAGGTGGTGAACCAAGTAAATTCTTTTTTGGTGAGGGAACTTGGGAAGTACTTCAATTTTAAATCCTCGTTGTTTGCTATGTCGCCAGATTCGGTTTGGTATCTGGCAACATGTTCGACGGTGGACTCCTCGATCTCTCCGGCGAATTTGGTAAACTTTGACACTTTCCACCCTTTGGGAAAATCTGTTTGCGGAACAAAGTCTGACAGTGGGGATGTATATGTTAGTCGTCGAAGGCCTGGTTTCGCCCCGTTCCGAACCATAATTTGTTCCACCATGGCTTTTAAGTTGGGTTCACCAGCCATGGCTTCGTGTCGAACCTGTCTGACCACATAGTCTTGATCCTGATTTCTATGAACTAAAACAACGGGAGGCCTTTGGGCCATCCTAGGTGTGTGTTCAACCTCATGGGATTGCTGGTTAATTATCTTGTCGAAGACTTCGTCTTGTCGAATTGGCGTCTCCGGTCGAGGTGGCGGTGTCTGTCGACCCAGGGCCCTAGGAGCGCCTAAAAAATACCTATGCGCGTCATCTGAGTTGCTAATTGTTGGTAACTTTGAGTCGAATCGTATATTAGTGGTCTTAATATTGTGCCCATTTGCTGGGTCAAAATGGACCATTTCGTGATTACTTTCGTCCATCTGCTGTCTCACGACGGCGACAGAACTTGATGTGAAAGTCAGAAACAAAAGTGACAGAATGCTAAACCCTGGGGGCCTGGTAACTTGGTTTTCCAAAGGCCCTAACCCATGATACGGTGAAAAAGCTGACGAAGAGTTTTCCCAAAGAGCGGGCCACTATGATGTAGGCTCGACATAAACTCTGTCGGCATCCCAAAGGCCCAGGGTGTGGGCATTGTGAAACTAGACATATATTGCCCCCCAGTTCCTGTCACCATAGGCCTAGGTTCAGGCCGACGTAGCGTCATGACAGGCCCACCATGAGCAGTCAAAACCGCAGACACAACGTCAGCGCCAATGTCGTTGGTTTGAGTCACAACCATATTTCCTTCCGAAGACGGTTCTTCGTTTGGACGTGGTATCACCACCTTACCGCTGCGCAAATGTATACACCCAAACCGACGTGTCCCCACCAGCTGTGCCAATTTGTTCGCAGGTGGTTTTCGCGCGAACAAACTCTAACCTCCTAACGTAGGTTTACTTGCGGGACCGGCCAAACAAGTCCCATAAGTCTAGTTTGTAATGTATGAGGAAGTGGTGAAATGATGTTGTTTAGAATAGACTGAAGATAAATTCTAGAAAGATTGTAAAATTAAATAAAGATGAATGCGTGAACAAGAAACGACAAAAACAACAAGACAAGAGACTTTAAATATAATGATATATATTGCTTATTAAGAGGAAAGGTGGACGTGATCATACCACTAGTGCAGAAATGACTTTTTACATCGGGCCAAAAACACATTTTACATCGGGTCTGGGTGCTTATTTAAATTTTTATTTAGAATCTTATTACATCAGTTGGGCTAATTGGCCTGATGTAAAAGGTTTAATAAATCTTATTTAATTTTTTATTGAGAAACTTATTACATCAGTTGGGCAAAATGACCCGATATAAAACGTTTAATCCATTTATTTTTTTATTGAAAAACTTTTTACATCCGTTGGGCAAAATGACCCGATGTAAAACGTTTAATCCATTTATTTTTTTATTGAAAAACTTTTTACATCGGTTGGGATAAACAACCCGATGTAAAATGACTTAATCTATATTTTTTATTAATATGAAGAAGCATCTCATAATATCTGTATTTTTTATACAATTTCATAGTTAATGCATGTGATCACATTTTATATGAATTTAAAAAAAAATATAATCTAGATGATATATACTAAAGAATTGAAATTTTTGTTTTAATCCTTTTATATTACAAAATAAAAATATCATGCAATTATTATCAGTTAAATATAAATCACTTAAAATTTTTTTAATTAAAATGACTTAATCTATTTTATTTATTTATTTATTGAGGACTTTTACATCGATTGGGGTAAACGGCCTGATGTAAAATCTTTTATAATAAAATTTTTTATTATGAGTAGCATCACCAGTATCTTTTATTTTTTATTTATTATTTTAATTAAGAACGTCCTATGATATACATGTACGAGTATCAATCCTATTTTGAATAAATATAGAGAAACTATAGAGAAAATAATTAATTAGAGAAAATACGATGAGAAACTTACGGAAAAGAGATTCACCTCATCTTCGGCGAAGGGATGGGTGGCGGCGAAAAAAAAAAGAAGAATGACGGATGGTGGCGGCGGAGGAAGAAGAATGGTAGACGGTGGCGGCGGAGGAAGAAGAATAACAATGATGGTGGAAGCGAAGAAGAAAAATGGAGACGAAGACGGTGGAAGCGAAGAAGAAGAATGATAAGAGATTTTTGGGAGTTGGAGAATCTTAAGTTTTCAGATAGGGTTTTGGGATTTTAAGAAACATTTTACATCGGATGGGCAAATAGGCCTGATGTAAAATTTTTAATCAATTTTATTTAAATTTTTATTTAGAATCTTATTACATCAGTTGGGCAAATTGGCCTGATATAAAATCTTAATCTATTTTATTTATTTATTTATTGAGGACTTTTACATCGGTTGGGATAAACAACCCGATGTAAAATCCTTTATAACAAAATTTGTTATTATTTACGACACTGCCACCGCATTATTTTTTACATCAGATGGGGTACATGGCCCGATGTAAAATGTTTCTCCCATTTTATTTATTTTTTATTGAGAACTTTTTACATCGGTTGGGATAAATGGCCCGATGTAAAATCCTTTATAACAAAATTTCTTATTATTTACGACAATGCCACCGCGTTATTTTTTACATCAGTGGAAATATATGTCTGATGTAAAATCTTTAAATCAAATATTTCTCACATCATATTGTTAATAAATCTGATGTAAAATCCTTTAACAAATATTTTTCACATCATATATCTAAAAATCTGATGTAAAATCATTTAACCAAATGTCTTATTTTTAGTAGTGTACATTTCGCAGGAATGAAAACTCTTTTCTCTTAACACTTGGTACTCAGAGTGTTTTTCCCTTTCAATGTTACAAAATGCGCCTCTCAAAATGAAACTGGACATTGCCTTAAATAGGGAAATAAAATAATTGTCATGTTGAAGTTGGTGGCGCCACGTGTCCTTCCACCACTTTTGTAACCTCCCACGTTCTCGTCTTTCAAATATGTTTCCCGCTTGTTTTCCTTCTTTGCGTTGGCTTCTTTATCCATCAGTCGACCTTGTCGACCGAAACTGCTTGAGTCGAACCACCAACCTTCTTTTGCTGGAGTCGGCTAATTACCTCATTTCCTTCACCATCTTTCCCAGCCTGTCGACCCATAAGCCAGTCTTTGTGTCGCCTATCTTTAGTCAAAACTTCCAGCCAACAGACAATGGGTCAACCGGGTAAAGTACGACGAATAGTTGAATTTCAATAAGCTCTAAATACAACAATAAATGTTTGGGTGGAACATAAAGCTTTGTTAGATCAATAACTTGTTGTTGCTCATCTACACTTAGCCAACAAATAACTGAGTGACCTTCTAATCTATCAGTTAAGTTGTGGTTATGAAGTCCACATTTTACATCAACCTTCCATCCAAACCCATTCTTTGACGGTGTTGATTTGATTTTGAATGAAAAAACCCTCATTTCTTAGTGACACTTTATCTTCCACTATTTCATATGAAAAAAACCTCATTTCTTAGTGACACTTTATCTTCCACTATTTCCTACCATTATTACAAGCAAATATTATTTCGTTGCTCTCTCTCTCTCATATTTTAATATTCGATATTCGAACAAGTGATGATAATCGTTAATTTATTTTTAATTTCAACCTTCTTAATCCACTTTATTACAAGATATTTCTAATTCCAACCTTCTTAATCCACCTTATTACCTATGAAATCTATGTGCAGTTAAAAATGCATCAATATACTTATATGGCATATCTATAAAGAAATTTTCTTATCTCTATCATAAAAAATATTTTATTTAAATAAAAAACACTATCAGGTGACTTACCATTTAGTGTATTTCAGTAAACAAAAGGAAATTTACCAGATAACATTATACCAAATTATCCAATACATATTACAAACCGGAGAACATACCAACAACAAGTTTTCCGAGAAAAATAAAATACAACCGAAAAACATAACATAACGTTATCGAGTATAGAAAAAATGTACCGAAACTCTTTTCTCACAGTTATTCGATAAACATACGTAGGGGTGTAAAATCCTTCATAATGCGGAAAACTGTAAAATCACAAATTAGTTACAGTTTTCAGTTTGAAAAGAGTCATGTACTTTCATGTAGTCGCGAAAAAAAAGTAAAAAGAATTAAGTTAAAATGACCAATAAAAATACAGTATCGGTATTCTCCCTCTCATAGTCCCTAATAATTTTGTAAGTTGTACCTTCCTCGAGAATTATTATATCGGTAATAGTTGTAATTAATTTAATGCAGTCTTATCTTACTCAACACAATAGTTATCGATATTATATATACATACTGATACAGTGGTACTACTGATCTTAAGAGACATGGAGCATCATCAATCTAGTGATGAGAAGTTTGAGAAATTTATATGGAAGGTTGAAAACTTCTCTCACTTGATAATAGATCACATTTACTCCGAGCCTTTTGTACTAGGCGGTTATCCATGGTAAGATTTATTAGTGAATGAATTCTGACTTGTTAGAATTTATTGAATAGAATATATGATTTTTTTTTCTTGTTTAGGAGGATTATTCTGTATCCTAGTGGTATCTGTTATTGCAACTACTTATCAATTCATTTGGAGGCTATGCAAACTGCCAATATGTCTGAGGGATGGAGCAGAGATGTCAAATTCTGTATCCTATGTTCTGATCATCCCTCGCTTATTGAGAGCCATTTGAACAACGATTTTGCATTCGCAGCATTGGGTAGAGTTCTTTATTTTCTTAAGACTAGAAAAGTAAAAGATATGAATGAACAAGCTTGTAAGGATCTTCAAGTTTTATGGGAGGAACTTGAAAAATATGGATTTAATCTTAGTTGGTTAGAGCCTCATGTTCAATCTGCCTTAGCAATGAAAAATTATGTGCGGAATGTTCTACTAATGAAAAAGGTGAAGGAGGATATGGTAATTCTAGAGTTAGAAACGGAGAGGCTAAATGCAAAGTTGGCTGCTCTTGAGCTAAATCTTGACGTTGAAAGAGACTTACGGAAAGAAAAAGGGTTAGAAGAGAGAGATTTGGATTTTGAACTAGGATACGGCAGTTGAAGACATTAAATCTATAGTTAAGCTTAAATTGATTTCTATGAATTTGGAATTTTGTCTTTAGAAGAATGATATGAAAATATGTTTTTTTTATTTCTCCATAAGATTATGATTACTATACATAAACTTCTTAGATGCCCTTTTTACTTACTAACTTTTTGTATCATGTTAAAAGTTAGCATATCTTTAAAAGTAAAAGCGGTATATAAATATTAGAAAAATATTATTTTTACACTAAATCCTATACTTACACCGTATTTTGCTGTTTACCAATACGGTGAACAGTGAAATATATAAAAAATTAATATTTTTTAATATTTTTTAATTTTTTAATTTTTAAATTAAATAATATTAATATAAAATTACACGATTAACTAACTTCATATCTTCATTAATCAACTTTTTATTTTTCATTAACCAACTTTAGTTTACTATTAAAAATATTTTTAACTCTGAATGTCTATTAACCAACTTCATCACTTCATTAATCAATTTTTTACATTTCATTAACCAACTTTATTCACTATTTTAAACTATTGTTCACATATACTGTTCATGTACGGTTCATTTACTGTTCACATATACTGTTCACGCACGGTTCATTTATTGTTTATAAAAATATTTTTTTATTTAAGAAAATATATTGGTGTATGTATTGGTGTATAAATAGAGTGTAGGAATAGCAAACCTGTAAATATTAAGATATAAATTTATAAAGGGAAATGATATTTTTACATTTAATTTTTATACCTATACCGTATTTTACTGTTTATCAATACGGTGAACAGTGAAATATTATAAATATATTGTTTTTCTAAAAAAAATAATTTTATTTTTTTATTTTTTATTAAGAAGTACTGATAATAAATTGTGTGATTAACTAATTTCATAATTTTATTAACCAATATTTTATGTTGTATTAACCAACTTTGGTGATTGTTCAAAATTATTTTTAATATCTAGACGTTTATTAACACATTTTGTAACTTCATTAACTAACCTTTTGATTTTCATAAACCAACTTTGATTTTCTATTAAAAATTATTTTTAATATATGAGCATTTATTAATCAAATTTATAATTTTATTAACCAATTTTTTACATTTCATTAACCAATTTTATTCACTCTTAAAAAATTATTTTACATATATTGTATGTAAATACTGTTCACGTTACTATTCACGAACACATGCACAGTTCATATGACATTGTTCCATATTATTTATGTATTATTCCTCACTGATGTTCCATATTATTTATGTATTATTCCTCACTGTTCACTATATTAGTGAACACTGCATACGGTGTAGCGTCTGTTTCAGTGTAAACATAACATTACTGATTTATAAAAGGTAGCTATAATTTGTCTCTTATTTTAATTAAACAAATATAGTAACAATTTATGAACCTAAAAACAATGTTAAGTCCATGCAAATATAACCGCCAAATGTATATCGTCGAATGGTGACCATTGTGGGAAAAATACCATATTTTTATATAATGAATTTCATTTTTAGTTTTTTTTTAAAATTTTTCTTCAAATAATAGTGATCTTGATATTTTTCATCATTTTTGGCCCCTCTCATAATTTTAAATTTCGGTTTCAGTTGCCGTTGTGTGTATTGTGATGGTGGCCATTGCAGTTGCTGCGATGCGTATTGCGATAATTGCGGCGTGAATTTTTATTGAAAAATATTTGAAATATACTATTGAAAAATTCTTATGTTAATTTTTTACATTACAGATTGTAAATCAAGTTATGATAAAAATATGTGAAGAAATATGGATGAAGTTGTTTGATACGAATTCTAATTAGTTGAACGTGTGATTTCAAATTACGCCGCAATTGTGGTCCGATGCGGATGTGTTGACTACCGTATCAGCAATATTGCGGACCACAATTTAAAACTATGGTCCCTCTAGCTAAGTGTAGTTAATAGAAGCTGATGTGACATTGTCACGTGAAAATTTCTTTTTGTGATTGGACATACACATGACAATGCAAGAAAAAAAAAGATTTTAGCTAATATGTAGCAAATACATTGCAAGAATTTTGGTTTTTAAAAACACATTGTTGTAGTACCATGTTGTATGGAATATAGTTTATTTTCCTTCCTTATTTGTTCTAGAACACAAAATAATAAACAAATGCATTGTTTTAGACAATATGAAGCATAATCACTAATTTTTCTTAGTTTTATTAAAGTTCTAATTGCTACAGAATTATTCTCTTATGTCAGAGATACTAGACTCTTGGACTGAACACTAATGTGCTGGCTGGAGCTAGATATGGTACTAAAGCTTTTGCTGCAAAGAGACGTTTTATGAGTGACATTCCAAGTAAAACCAGTGAGATAAAGCTGCCTTTCAATTTTCAATAGAATTGTTGGAGCTTTCCTAGCAGCTGTCACATTACTTTCTTATATGTATACATGAAATTGGGTTTGGTTATTCTCACCTATGATTCATTCTACTAATTTGTATTTTGTTCATCAAAACTCCACCTACTTGCAGTAGACATTTTTGCCTTAGCCATGTTCTATCATCTGTATAATTAATTCATCACTTATTCATACGATATCACAGTCACAATTGATATTTGAGCAGTATATATCCTGAGGTAATTTTATCTCTTTCTTGATTCATATTTGGATTTTTTTTGTCGCAAAACATTTATTCAGCTTTTGGAAATTATGCTTCAGTACCTGTCGCAAAACAGGTGGAACTTGCTTGCACATGTCATAAGACCTCATCCGTCAAGCACTGTGAATCTGCTTTATATAGGTTTGCTATTACCAAAATAAATAAATAATAATGATAACTTAGAATTTCTTATTTAATGCTGAGCATAACTACACCTGTTTTGCATCTGAAGGAAGGAAAATAAACTATATTCCATGTAAGACGGAGCTAGAACAATGTATTTGCAATGTAAAAAAAATGCAAAAGTATTTTAATGATATACCTTTGTTATCGTATTAAGATTCTGAAACTTAGTTTCTAAATCCTCTGAAGTAATCCTCTAACAACCAGACAATCATTGCACAGGGAGAGTGGCACCAAAATACCAGTGGTGCAGGATTTTGTGAAAAAGGGTTACAAGGGACATACAGTGGTATACCACTCATCATGCTTTCAACTTTGACACAAAATTAGCAGCGACAATACTAATAATACTAACAGTGGTATGCCACCTCATCAACTCATCAACATCTAGCGGTTTTGTAGCTCTTGACGTTGATTCCTTTGGAAAGTTTTTTTTCCATGACTTTCACCTCATCAACATCTTCCCCATTTCTTTTAAGTTGATTGACTACGAATAATACTCGAGAAAAATAATCAGAAATTTGACTCAGAATCTTTCATAAATAAACGTTCAAAGTCACTTTTAAGAGTTTGAAGTCGAATCTTTTACACCTGTTTGTTTGGCCGTCGTTGCATTGGAGATCTTCTCAAATGTATTTTCATCCACCGATTGATAAATCACTACAACATTTTTACTCTATAGCAACGCCTAATTTTCAGGAAGTAAAAAAATTGTTCTTGTAGAGAGTAATAGGCAACTAATTATATAATTTGTTGCGGTAGCTTATATAATTTTTTGTAAATTTTATACAACGGCGCAAAACCGTTCTGATAGAAGACAATGAGAACGGCTTCTATTAGCAACGGTAAGGAGCCGTTCTTATATAATATTTAATTATTTTAATAAAATATTATTTCCTAAGACCGTTCTCATATATCTATATTTTTCATTGTTCCTCCCAAACGTTAGTAAAATTTTCAGTTCCCTCCCAAATTTTCAGTTCCCTTCTAACGTATGAGCTTCCCAAATTTTCAGTTCCCAGCTTCATCGTACGATTCTCTCAAACCCTAACATTCATCCAAATTGATTCTTCATCGTACGAGCTTCTCCCAAATCCTACCATTTTGTTCTTCATCCCATATTAATTCTTCATCGTACGATTCTCTCAAACCCTAACATTCATCCCAAACTTGTGTGTGTAAATGTTCTCCTTCAACTTTCTCTATTCTCTGCCGACAAATCTAACTGTTTTGTTTTCATAGGTCTCAATTTTCAAATGTAACAGTGTGCGAGTTTTCGGTTCATCCGGGTAAAAAGGTAATAATTTGATTCTAATTCGTTTTACCTAATTCCTAAATTATGTTATTATTATTATTTTGAATCTGTAGAAAATTGGAATCGATGAAGTTGTCTATACTGTTGATCTCAAGAACGGAGAGGTTATCAAAGGTTAGTTTCATTTTTCATTTTCAATTCATTTGTTTGAAATTGTGGATTTTGATGTTTATATTTGCTTTCAATTTTACTCATTCAATCCAGTTTTATGATAAATTATCTGAAGTGGATTTCTTATATATTTACAATCAAATATACGATAAACTTGGTTTTAAACTGTAATTACAATTGAAAATTGATGGGTTCCGGGTATATGTGAACATTGTCATTGCAATTACAGCCACACCAACTGCAATTACAATTATTATAATTGCGGCCATAATGTCAAGGTTTTGGGTATCTGCAATTGCAATTTGAATATAATGTCAAGATTTTAGGTTTTCTGCAATTGCAATTTTGATTGAAATTATTGATAATTGCAACCATAATGTCAAGGTTTTAGAGTATATGCAACTGCAATTGTGGATAATTGCAACCATAATGTCAAAATTTTAGGGTATCTGCAACTGTGTTGTCAGTATATCATGGTTTTAAATTGCGGTAGCGGATGCGGTTGTGGGTGTTGCGGTCAATGTGGTTGCTGCAATGCGTATTGCGGCATGAATTTTAATTGAGAGGAGTTCTAAATACAACATTGAAAAACACTTAATTATGTTTTTTAATTACATATGATGTAATTTGAGTTCTGGGGTTCTAAATTTATAAGTTTTGATGAAAATACTTGAAGAAAATTGATAAGTTTTGGAATTGTCTCGTTGAGTTCATAACGCGTCCGGACGAGTGGTTTTATAATCACATCAAC